TGATAGATGCCCGATGAGCACGGAGCATAAATATGGGAGTAAAAGCAGGTGAGGTGCAATTAGGATATATTACGTGCTTGATATGATCACAACTCATCAATTTGTCAATAAAGTGCTCAAGATACAACTCTATAATCCCCGGTCGAAACAATAGACAAAACTGATAGCACTATATACAGTTTACACACCCGGGTCAGAAATGGTGACGCGGACCATTTTCCTCACTTTTTCACGTTATTAGTGGTTGTATGACGCCATTTCTCCCAGAATATGTAACTTTCGACCTGATTAGAAGTTTCCTTCTTCAGTCATCAAAATCTATGACAGCTTGGAGTATTTTGTGATAGTTGTGGCGAAAGTGTTTTATCTTCTATGATGGTAAAAATGGCTATTCTTCCTTCCTGGACCACTTTCTATTGAATAGTACATATAATTCCACAGGTTGGCCTCAATTATTTGTACGTTCCAAACTGTTCAGTAACGGTACAGGGCATCTCAGCAACTCTCCGCCACATAATGTACATGACTTGTTCCCCGGATAGAAATGCTAACCATAATTAAGCCCCCCAAGAGGAAACTGGACAAGTCATGCACTCACATTAATGTAGTTCTGCAAATGTAAGAACTCATGCCTCATATGGCCAACCTGTAAAAGCCATGTTACCAGCTTTTCCTCTGGCACAATATAAAGTTTGTTGGGATTTCAGGAAATCTTTGTCTACTAACAGCTTCTTACCCTCAAGTTGTTCATCAGTATGAACAAATCACATATAATGGTCCTGCTTGTAATGAAATCTTTGGTTGATTGTTTCAGTGTTTTTTTCTTGTATTTTTCTTTTTTTCTGGTGCACACGGGAACTTTTGAAATCTTTTTCAGATTGGTTTTACTGGCAAAAGACAGAAACAAATTATTCGGAATCTGAATTACATTAACAGTGAGTGAATGACAGGCGGGAACTGAGGGGCTGATAACATGTACTTGTTGCCTCGCTTCTGTGAGGTCTTTCAAGGGCAAACTGGAGCTAGTTTAGTAGTGTATCCACCTTTGCATATGGAGTGAATTAATAAGGCCATGTGAAGTGTCTTGAGAGTCAAACGCACTACATTCACCGGCTGCAATATTTTAGTATTATGTTCCAAGTGTGGACCTCAAATTTCACAACAGAGAAGCCCGTAAACGTTATGTCGGCCCTATGTCGGTAGCAACGCTTTTAGGCGCTCATTCTACTCCTTTTTTCCATGTAAAGCCATAGTGGCACAACCGTTGCCCGGAAAAATAGCGGCATTACAGTAGCAGCATGTCATGTGCTGGTGTACCTTTTAAGGATTGTTAGCATAGACAGCAGGTGTCACAAGTCTCATGCACTTTAGTGCACAAGGGCTCCCGGCTTATAAATGTCAAGATAAGATACTACAACAATATTAAAAACTCCAAGTGGCTTGTTTCTTGCATAGATTGGATCCTGTTATTCTTTAATATGTTTGTTTTATTTTTCTTAAGTGATCCAGAAAAATGTGTAACTCATTTGATTGCATATCTTTAGAATGAATGTGGAATGGCAGCCTAAAACCCACCAACAGTAAAACACAATCTGATAAACAAATACATCAAATCAACATGGCGCTCGCACACTATAATTTCATTCTTCTTCAGAGAAGACTGCCACTCCTCACCGGTACTGAGTTGTTGGTGCTGACACAAGGGGATAGTTTAAGGACCAGGGGTTTATTTTCATTTCTTTTTAAAGTTACTGTCTCCACGTAGGTATACTGCCTGGTTTAAAATGTGTTATATCAAATGTTTGCTATGAAGCTATGTCATACATAGCTATGTCTTATTTTTAAATGTTTCTGATTCTGCCTCGTTTCTTTTCTATGCTTCTTCTGACGTTCCATGAGGATTCTCCTTTTAAGGTAAACAAACTGATATCCATTTATTTTCTCTTTATAAAACGGCCCTAGCATTTTTGGATTACTGTTGTAATCAAAACAATGTTGGTCACTGTTGTTAGCCGTCTTTGGCCTTTTAATACAACACCATGACCTGCATCGGGATTATTTGCTAAGGGATGGTAATGTCTGGACCAAACCCTCATTCTCACTTTCAAACGCGCGTAAGAACATGAGAGTTCTTACGCTATTATGTTCTTCCAGTGTCTCATAGCTTGACGACCCACGTTTAAACTAGTCATATACGTTTCTTGTTACCTAGTGTTTACATATATGTATGACCGAGTGTCCAGTTAGAAATATGGAAAAGTCTGTCGTGTTGGGGAAGAAATACAATAATTGGCTCAACTCTGCCCGGATTTTTTTTAAACAACTATTCTCCATAGATGAAAAGTCACTTGTCACTTTACTTTATCTACTTATTATCCTGCACTATTTACATGTACAGTTACTACAGTAATACTACTACATATATATATTTGACTGGTATTGAGCCTTTCAGCAGTCTACAGCTTGTTAGTTAGCCTAAGAAACATAGGTACTACTTATCTTGTATATATTGTGTGTGCTCCCTAGTGTGCTCTACCTACTTGGTCCTATAATGCTGCTTCATCGATTTCCCCACTGTGGACGAATAAAGGAATTCTTATCTTATCTTATCTAATAAATTTTTTTTTCTGTTGATGAGACTGTGAAACATCTGAACATGGACATATAACATGCCCTTGATCCTTAATCAAAAAAGAAGAAAGTAGATAATTTAATGTGACAGGAGCTTGTGGTTTGGGGTGGGCCCCCACAACAAGTCCTTCCTGGGAAAGAATCATGAGAACACTGGCTTGAAGTCTGGTTTTTTTATTAGGTTTTTCAGAGGGCAGACATTAAATACGCCCTTCAGGTTCACCCAATCTAAGTTCTGGTGGAATGATAATACTAGATTACAGTATAGGGAACAGACTGACAGAACACTATATATTTCTTTTTATATAAGCTTTTTTTAAACCAGGAACATACATATTCTCACATATTGTTAACTAACTCAGTTAATGTGTTGGTTGAAATGGGCAAATTAGCTTATTTCAGATGAGCCCTTAAAGAGCTAACCCAATCATATATATAAAGTCACCTCCGTGAACACATACTGCTGTTATATAAAGTCACCTCCGTGAACACATACTGCTGTTATATAAAGTCACCTCCGTGAACACATACTGCTGTTATATAAAGTCACCTCCGTGAACACATACTGCTGTTATATAAAGTCACCTCCGTGAACACATACTGCTGTTATATAAAGTCACCTCCGTGAACACATACTGCTGTTATATAAAGTCACCTCCGTGAACACATACTGCTGTTATATAAAGTCACCTCCGTGAACACATACTGCTGTTATATAAAGTCACCTCCGTGAACACATACTGCTGTTATATAAAGTCACCTCCGTGAACACATACTGCTGTTATATAAAGTCACCTCCGTGAACACATACTGCTGTTATATAAAGTCACCTCCGTGAACACATACTGCTGTTATATAAAGTCACCTCCGTGAACACATACTGCTGTTATATAAAGTCACCTCCGTGAACACATACTGCTGTTATATAAAGTCACCTCCGTGAACACATACTGCTGTTATATAAAGTCACCTCCGTGAACACATACTGCTGTTATATAAAGTCACCTCCGTGAACACATACTGCTGTTATATAAAGTCACCTCCGTGAACACATACTGCTGTTATATAAAGTCACCTCCGTGAACACATACTGCTGTTATATAAAGTCACCTCCGTGAACACATACTGCTGTTATATAAAGTCACCTCCGTGAACACATACTGCTGTTATATAAAGTCACCTCCGTGAACACATACTGCTGTTATATAAAGTCACCTCCGTGAACACATACTGCTGTTATATAAAGTCACCTCCGTGAACACATACTGCTGTTATATAAAGTCACCTCCGTGAACACATACTGCTGTTATATAAAGTCACCTCCGTGAACACATACTGCTGTTATATAAAGTCACCTCCGTGAACACATACTGCTGTTATATAAAGTCACCTCCGTGAACACATACTGCTGTTATATAAAGTCACCTCCGTGAACACATACTGCTGTTATATAAAGTCACCTCCGTGAACACATACTGCTGTTATATAAAGTCACCTCCGTGAACACATACTGCTGTTATATAAAGTCACCTCCGTGAACACATACTGCTGTTATATAAAGTCACCTCCGTGAACACATACTGCTGTTATATAAAGTCACCTCCGTGAACACATACTGCTGTTATATAAAGTCACCTCCGTGAACACATACTGCTGTTATATAAAGTCACCTCCGTGAACACATACTGCTGTTATATAAAGTCACCTCCGTGAACACATACTGCTGTTATATAAAGTCACCTCCGTGAACACATACTGCTGTTATATAAAGTCACCTCCGTGAACACATACTGCTGTTATATAAAGTCACCTCCGTGAACACATACTGCTGTTATATAAAGTCACCTCCGTGAACACATACTGCTGTTATATAAAGTCACCTCCGTGAACACATACTGCTGTTATATAAAGTCACCTCCGTGAACACATACTGCTGTTATATAAAGTCTTGTGAGAATCTCTGTAACAAAGACACGCTGCAAAGCTGCAATGGAGAAGCTCTTTACCCAAAAGTCCGCTAGCATGCTCTGTTACAGAACCAAAGAGTTCCAACACAGGTCAGAACCAAAGTGTTCCAACACAGGTCAGAACCAAAGTGTTCCAACACAGGTCAGAACCAAAGTGTTCCAACACAGGTCCGAACCAAAGTGTTCCAACACAGGTCAAAACCAACGTGTTCCAACACAGGTCAGAACCAAAGTGTTCCAACACAGGTCAGAACCAAAGTGTCCCAACACAGGTCAAAGTGTTCCAACACAGGTCAAAGTGTTCCAACACAGGTCCGAACCAAAGTGTTCCAACACAGGTCAGAACCAAAGTGTCCCAACACAGGTCAGAACCAAAGTGTCCCAACACAGGTCAGAACCAAAATGTTCCAACACAGGTCCGAACCAAAGTGTTCCAACACAGGCCAGCACCAAGGTGTTCCAACACAGGTCAGAACCAAAGTGTTCCAACACAGGTCAGAACCAAAGTGTTCCAACACAGGTCAGAACCAAAGTGTTCCAACACAGGTCCGAACCAAAGTGTTCCAACACAGGTCAAAACCAACGTGTTCCAACACAGGTCAGAACCAAAGTGTTCCAACACAGGTCAAAGTGTTCCAACACAGGTCAAAACCAACGTGTTCCAACACAGGTCCGAACCAAAGTGTTCCAACACAGGTCAGAACCAAAGTGTTCCAACACAGGTCCGAACCAAAGTGTTCCAACACAGGTCAGAACCAAAGTGTTCCAACACAGGTCAGAACCAACGTGTTCCAACACAGGTCAGAACCAAAGTGTTCCAACACAGGTCAGAACCAAAGTGTTCCAACACAGGTCAGAACCAAAGTGTTCCAACACAGGTCCGAACCAAAGTGTTTTAACACAGGTCAGAACCAAAGTGTCCCAACACAGGTCCGAACCAAAGTGTCCCAACACAGGTCCGAACCAAAGTGTCCCAACACAGGTCAGAACCAAAGTGTTCCAACACAGGTCAGAACCAAAGTGTTCCAACACAGGTCAGAACAGAAGTGTTCCAGCACAGGTCAGAACCAAAGTGTTCCAACACAGGTCCGATCCAAAGTGTCCCAACACAGGTCCGAACCAAAGTGTCCCAACACAGGTCCGATCCAAAGTGTCCCAACACAGGTCCGAACCAAAGTGTCCCAACACAGGTCAGAACCAAAGTGTCCCAACACAGGTCAGAACCAAAGTGTTCCAACACAGGTCAGAACAGAAGTGTTCCAACACAGGTCAGAACCAAAGTGTTCCAGCACAGGTCAGAACCAAAGTGTTCCAACACAGGTCAGAACCAACGTGTTCCAACGCAGGTCCGAACCAAAGTGTCCCAACACAGGTCCGAACCAAAGTGTCCCAACACAGGTCAGAACCAAAATGTTTTAACACAGGTCAGAACCAAACTGTTCCAACACAGGTCAGGCCCAAAGAGTTCCAACACAAGTCAGAACCAAAGTGTTCCAACACAGGTCCGAACCAAAGTGTTCCAACACAGGTCAGAACCAAAGTGTTCCAACACAGGTCAGAACCAAAGTGTTCCAACACAGGTCAGAACCAACGTGTTCCAACGCAGGTCCGAACCAAAGTGTCCCAACACAGGTCAGAACCAAAGTGTCCCAACACAGGTCAGAACCAAAATGTTTTAACACAGGTCAGAACCAAACTGTTCCAACACAGGTCAGGCCCAAAGAGTTCCAACACAAGTCAGAACCAAAGTGTTCCAACACAGGTCCGAACCAAAGTGTTCCAACACAGGTCAGAACCAAAGTGTTCCAACACAGGTCAGAACCAAAGTGTTCCAAGACAGGTCAGAACCAAAGTGTTCCAACACAGGTCCGAACCAAAGTGTTCCAACACAGGTCAGAACCAAAGTGTTCCAACACAGGTCAGAACAAAAGTGTTCCAACACAGGTCAAAGTGCTCCAACACAGGTCAGAACCAAAGTGTTCCAACACAGGTCAAAGTGTCCCAACACAGGTCAGAACCAAAGTGTTCCAACACAGGTCAGAACCAAAGTGTTTTAACACAGGTCCGAATCAAAGTGTTCCAACACAGGTCCGAACCAAAATGTTCCCACACAGGTCAGAACCAAAGTGTTCCAAAACAGGTCAGAACCAACGTGTTCCAACACAGGTCAGAACCAAAGTGTTCCAACACAGGTCCGAACCAAGGTGTTCCAACACAGGTCCGAACCAAAGTGTCCCAACACAGGTCCGAACCAAAGTGTCCCAACACAGGTCAGAACCAAAGTGTCCCAACACAGGTCAGAACCAAAGTGTTCCAACACAGGTCAGAACCAAAATGTTCCAACAGGTCAGAACCAAAGAGTTCCAACACAGGTCAGAACCAAAGTGTTCCAACACAGTATAGAACCAAAGTGTTCCAACACAGGTCAGAACCAAAGTGTTCCAACACAGGTCAGAACCAAAGTGTTCCAACACAGGTCAGAACCAAAGTGTTCCAACACAGGACAAAGTGTTCCAACACAGGTCAGAACCAAAGTGTTCCAACACAGGTCAGAACCAAAGTGTTCCAACACAGGTCCGAACCAAAGTGTTTTAACACAGGTCAGAACCAAAGTGTCCCAACACAGGTCAGAACCAAAGTGTTCCAACACAGGTCCGAACCAAAGTGTTCCAACACAGGTCCGAACCAAAGTGTCCAAACACAGGTCCGAACCAAAGTGTCCAAACACAGGTCCGAACCAAAGTGTCCCAACACAGGTCAGAACCAAAGTGTCCCAACACAGGTCAGAACCAAAGTGTTTTAACACAGGTCAGAACCAAAGTGTTCCAACACAGGTCAAAGTGTTCCAACACAGGTCAGAACCAAAGTGTTCCAACACAGGTCAGAACCAAAGTGTTCCAACACAGGTCAGAACCAAAGTGTTCCAACACAGGTCAAAGTGTTCCAACACAGGTCAGAACCAAAGTGTTCCAACACAGGTCAAAGTGTTCCAACACAGGTCAGAACCAAAGTGTTCCAACACAGGTCCGAACCAAAGTGTTTTAACACAGGTCAGAACCAAAGTGTTCCAACACAGGTCAGAACCAAAGTGTCCCAACACAGGTCCGAACCAAAGTGTCCCAACACAGGTCCGAACCAAAGTGTCCCAACACAGGTCCGAACCAAAGTGTCCCAACACAGGTCCGAACCAAAGTGTCCCAACACAGGTCAGAACCAAAGTGTCCCAACACAGGTCAGAACCAAAGTGTTTTAACACAGGTCAGAACCAAAGGGTTCCAACACAGGTCAAAATGTTCCAACACAGGTCAGAACCAAAGTGTTCCAACACAGGTCCGAACCAAAGTGTTCCAACACAGGTCAGAACCAACGTGTTCCAACACAGGTCAGAACCAAAGTGTTCCAACACAGGTCCGAACCAAAGTGTTCCAACACAGGTCAGAACCAACGTGTTCCAACACAGGTCAGAACCAAAGTGTTCCAACACAGGTCAGAACCAAGGTGTTCCAACACAGGTCAGAACCAAAGTGTTCCAACACAGGTCTAAGTGTTCCAACACAGGTCAGAACCAAAGTGTTCCAACACAGGTCCAACACAGGTCAGAACCAAAGTGTTCCAACACAGGTCAAAGTATTCCAACACAGGTCAGAACCAAAGTGTTCCAACACAGGTCCGAACCAAAGTGTTCCAACACAGGTCAGAACCAAAGTGTTCCAACACAGGTCAGAACCAACGTGTTCCAACACAGGTCAGAACCAACGTGTTCCAACACAGGTCAGAACCAAGGTGTTCCAACACAGGTCCGAACCAAAGTGTTCCAACACAGGTCCGAACCAAAGTGTTCCAACACAGGTCAGAACCAAGGTGTTCCAACACAGGTCCGAACCAAAATGTTCCAACACAGGTCCAAACCAAAGTGTTCCAACACAGGCCAGAACCAAGGTGTTCCAACACAGGTCAGAACCAAAGTGTTCCAACACAGGTCAGAACCAAAGTGTTCCGACACAGGTCAGAACCAAAGTGTTCCAACACAGGTCAGAACCAAAGTGTTTCAACACAGGTCAGAACCAAAGTGTTCCAACACAGGTCCAAACCAAAGTGTTCCAACACAGGTCAAAACCAACGTGTTCCAACACAAGTCAGAACCAAAGTGTTCCAACACAGGTCAAAACCAACGTGTTCCAACACAGGTCAAAACCAACGTGTTCCAACACAGGTCAGGCCCAAAGTGTTCCAACACAGGTCAGAACCAAAGTGTTCCAACACAGGTCAGAACCAAAGTGTTCCAACACAGGTCAAAGTGTTCCAACACAGGTCAGAACCAAAATGTTTTAACACAGGTCAGAACCAAAGTGTTCCAACACAGGTCAGAACCAAAGTGTTCCAACACAGGTCAGAACCAAATTGTTCCAACACAGGACAGAACCAAAGTGTTCCAACACAGGTCAGAACCAAAGTGTTCCAACACAGGTCAGAACCAAAGTGTTCCAACACAGGTCAGAACCAAAGTGTTCCAACACAGGTCAGAACCAAAGTGTTCCAACACAGGTCAGAACCAAAATGTTCCAACACAGGTCAAAGTGTTCCAACACAGGTCAGAACCAACGTGTTCCAACACAGGTCAGAACCAAAGTGTTCCAACACAGGTCAAAGTGTTCCAACACAGGTCAGAACCAAAATGTTTTAACACAGGTCAGAACCAAACTGTTCCAACACAGGTCAGAACCAAAGAGTTCCAACACAGGTCAGAACCAAAGTGTTCCAACACAGGTCAGAACCAAAGTGTTCCAACACAGGTCAGAACCAAAGTGTTCCAACACAGGTCAGAACCAAAGTGTTCCAACACAGGTCAGAACCAAAGTGTTCCAACACAGGACAGAACCAAAGTGTTCCAACACAGGTCAGAACCAAAGTGTTCCAACACAGGTCAGAACCAAAGTGTTCCAACACAGGTCAGAACCAAAGTGTTCCAACACAGGTCAGAACCAAAGTGTTCCAACACAGGACAGAACCAAAGTGTTCCAACACAGGTCAGAACCAAAGTGTTCCAACACAGGTCAGAACCAACGTGTTCCAACACAGGTCAGAACCAACGTGTTCCAACACAGGTCAGAACCAACGTGTTCCAACACAGGTCAGAACCAAAGTGTTCCAACACAGGTCAGAACCAAAGTGTTCCAACACAGGTCAGTACCAAAGTGTTCCAACACAGGTCAGAACCAAAGAGTTCCAACACAGGTCAGAACCAAAGTGTCCTTTGGGCGAGACAAACACATTTGGAACATTAATCCAGAGAGCAGCAGAAGTTATTGATAATTGGTCATTGACTGTTTTCAGTGATTTTCCAGTTTGATGAACGACTGAAGCTCGTCCTTCGAGACGACTGTTTTTTTAGAGAAACATAAAAATAACTTTGTGTTTGAAGCTGAGACAAAGCTCTGCAGAGAGAGCCTGGGTCTACAGCCTCAGTTCTGGGTCTACAGCCTCAGTCCTGGGTCTACAGCCTCAGTCCTGGATCTACAGCCTCAGTCCTGGGTCTACAGCCTCAGTCCTGGGTCTACAGCCTCAGTTCTGGGTCTACAGCCTCAGTCCTGGGTCTACAGCCTCAGTCCTGGATCTACAGCCTCAGTCCTGGGTCTACAGCCTCAGTCCTGGGCCTACAGCCTCAGTCCTGGGTCTACAGCCTCAGTCCTGGATCTACAGCCTCAGTCCTGGATCTACAGCCTCAGTCCTGGGTCTACAGCCTCAGTCCTGGGTCTACAGCCTCAGTCCTGGGTCTACAGCCTCAGTCCTGGGCCTACAGCCTCAGTCCTGGGTCTACAGCCTCAGTAGACTTTTTTGGACTCTCAAAGTCTCTTCACATCATTCTTCTCTCTCTCCAAACACAGTGGTGATAAAGTACTACTGTAGCCACAGCTGCCCTGGGGCACATTGACAGAAGCGAGGCAACCAGTCTGTGCCATCGGCCCCTCCCACCACCACCAACCATTCACACACACACCAGACTCATTCTAATGTGGGGGAAGTGTCTTGCCTAAGGACACAACCCCCACAGTACTAACTAGGCCCTGCCCTACTGAGCTCCAGAGGTCTGACAGGATCTGACACCTGCAGCTGTAGCAGCACATGCTAATCACATGCTAATCACATGCTAAACACATGCTAATCACATGTAGAACAGCTGGGGCCTCAGTATAAACATGTTTTTAGGTCCCAGTGATTGCAGCTGCTGCAGACTCAGACAGTTCCCATTAGAGCTTTACTTCACACTCAGGACAAAATCAGCTTTGATTGAAGTCAGGCAACAGCCAGGCCTACTATGTACTCTCTCTCTCTACTGTATATACTATATACTATATATATATATATATATATACTATATACTATGTACAGGAGGAATCACTGCTGTATCACTGCTGTGGACTGATATGAACAGCATTATTTTAAAATAAATGCATTTAAACATCAGATTTTTACACTTGAATGAAAAGTGTTTTCAGAGGAGTGTGACCTACTGCTGACCATGTGAGTGTGACCTCCTACTGCTGACCATGTGAGTGACCTCCTACTGCTGACCATGTGAGTGTGACCTACTGCTGACCATGTGAGTGTGACCTCCTACTGCTGACCATGTGAGTGTGACCTCCTACTGCTGACCATGTGAGTGTGACCTACTGCTGACCATGTGAGTGTGACCTCCTACTGCTGACCATGTGAGTGACCTCCTACTGCTGACCATGTGAGTGTGACCTACTGCTGACCATGTGAGTGTGACCTCCTACTGCTGACCATGTGAGTGTGACCTCCTACTGCTGACCATGTGAGTGTGACCTACTGCTGACCATGTGAGTGTGACCTCCTACTGCTGACCATGTGCAACAATCTCTGATGGTTCTTTTAAAACAGACAAACAAATAAATGCTGTGGTCAAAGCTTCTTCCAGTTTAGACCAAAGTGAATCTTTGTCTTCATGGTTTGTCCCCGTCCTCAAATCTGTCTGTCCTCACTGTGCTCTGGTCTGGACCTCAGAGGACCTGTCTGTCCTCACTGTGCTCTGGTCTGGACCTCAGAGGAACTGTCTGTCCTCACTGTGCTCTGGCCTGGACCTCAGAGGACCTGTCTGTCCTCACTGTGCTCTGGCCTGGACCTCAGAGGAACTGTCTGTCCTCACTGTGCTCTGGCCTGGACCTCAGAGGAACTGTCTGTCCTCACTGTGCTCTGGCCTGGACCTCAGAGGAACTGTCTGTCCTCACTGTGCTCTGGCCTGGACCTCAGAGGAACTGTCTGTCCTCACTGTGCTCTGGTCTGGACCTCAGAGGAACTGTCTGTCCTCACTGTGCTCTGGTCTGGACCTCAGAGGACCTGTCTGTCCTCACTGTGCTCTGGTCTGGACCTCAGAGGAACTGTCTGTCCTCACTGTGCTCTGGTCTGGACCTCAGAGGAACTGTCTGTCCTAACTGTGCTCTGGTCTGGACCTCAGAGGAACTGTCTGTCCTCACTGTGCTCTGGTCTGGACCTCAGAGGACCTGTCTGTCCTCACTGTGCTCTGGTCTGGACCTCAGAGGAACTGTCTGTCCTCACTGTGCTCTGGTCTGGACCTCAGAGGACCTGTCTGTCCTCACTGTGCTCTGGTCTGGACCTCAGAGGACCTGTCTGTCCTCACTGTGCTCTGGTCTGGACCTCAGAGGACCTGTCTGTCCTAACTGTGCTCTGGTCTGGACCTCAGAGGAACTGTCTGTCCTCACTGTGCTCTGGTCTGGACCTCAGAGGACCTGTCTGTCCTCACTGTGCTCTGGCCTGGACCTCAGAGGACCTGTCTGTCCTCACTGTGCTCTGGCCTGGACCTCAGAGGACCTGTCTGTCCTCACTGTGCTCTGGCCTGGACCTCAGAGGACCTGTCTGTCCTCACTGTGCTCTGGCCTGGACCTCAGAGGAACTGTCTGTCCTCACTGTGCTCTGGCCTGGACCTCAGAGGACCTGTCTGTCCTCACTGTGCTCTGGCCTGGACCTCAGAGGAACTGTCTGTCCTCACTGTGCTCTGGCCTGGACCTCAGAGGAACTGTCTGTCCTCACTGTGCTCTGGTCTGGACCTCAGAGGAACTGTCTGTCCTCACTGTGCTCTGGTCTGGACCTCAGAGTTAGAGTTTGTTATTGTTAGTTTTTAAATCACTGATTTACTTATTTTAAAGAACCGAGATCTGAGATTCTTTTGGAAAAACATTGCACCTGGATTTGAACATCAGAGGAAAAGCCTGTCTCACTTCTTCAGGAAGACAGTTCCAGATTCTAAATCCCAACAGTCTTGGAGGACTCTGTAAAGTTTTCACAGGTTCATAAGAATAAAACGACCAATGTTCATAAAGTGAATAAAGTGAATAAAAGTGAATAAAAGTGTGACTTATTTTGAAGCCTCAGTGCTCTGCTTCTTTGTGAGGACAGGATGTTGTGGGCGTCGCCACAGCTGACAGTCACATACAGACAACACTGCACACACCACTGATACATGTTCATGTATTTTTGTTAATTAAATACTTTAAAACTTCATTGCTCGTGTGGTCTCCCTCGTTGTTGCTACTCCTGAGCCAGAGCTGTAACAAAAGTTAATAAAAGTCTTAAAGCTGCACTAACTGACTTTGGGATTTTGAAGCCGTGGACTCGCTGGCCTCTCTCTTTCTGCTCCGCTCCCCGCACCCACGAAGCTATCGCCCCCACACACACCCACTGTTGAGACGGAGCTAGTGTCTCCCAATATGGATAATACATGGATATGGATTTGCACGTGGATGGCGTGACCATAGAACGATAAAACCGGGAAGCGCAGAGGAACGAGACTTTCGTTTGGATGGCTGTCTCGCTGTGTAAGCAGTAACCGGTGACGAAGACACATGAAGTTTCAGGTTAGCTCCTCGGCTTGTTGTGCTAACTCAGCCGTCTATGCTAACGGACCTGTAGATTTCTCACGAAAGTGGGGGCCAGTGGTCCGCTGTGATTGGTCACAATCTGCGACCCGAAACACATTCTCTTCCTTGTTTCATCAAAACTCGATCAAAAATATAATGTCACGCCAGCACAAATCTGCGCTACTTTTTCTTCAAAAGGACGTATATCCCAATGCACTGCATGGACATGGATAGCATTTTAGTAATTAATACGAAAATAAAGTCAGTTAGTGCAGCTTTAAAGGAGCTATACCCGTTTCTGCAAGGTTTTAATGTTTAGCCCCGCCCCCAACTCTCTCACAGGCTTCTCATTTCCCTACGCTCTCATAACACAGAGCCATCTAGCTCAATTTGCGATCTGACATGTATGCTAACATTAGCATTAGCACAACTTAAGCTGTACAACAGTCACTGATGAAATGGTACAAAAGCAACGCACTGCTAACACAATATATAGGTAAAAGAATACTGCTAGTTTCGCATCCAAATTTATTCATTAAAACATTAGAATATACTCGAGTATTTAATTATAATTTATTATACAGCTCCTCACAGCAGCAGCAGAACACTCCAGTGACTTGTATGTAATTCATTTTTTCTTGATAACAGAACTCTCAATCAATAATGACCGCTGCCCTTTGGCAATGCAATCTCTGTTTGTAATTCAGGAGTGTAAAATACTAACATTACTCTGCAAGTACAACGAGAGAAGCTAGCGGAGCTAGCCACGCTCAATAAACAACTACATATCTATCAATCAACACCATTAAATGTTAATCGGACAGTACAGTATACACATACATCCTTAAAGACCTTATGCCGGGTTTAAAAAAATAAAATTGTGGATATCAAAATTGCATGACAATGTCAATCTGAAAGAGATTCCGGCAAAAAAATCCTATATTTTATAAAAAGAAGGTGTTTTTCATGAATTTAAGTTGTCTATGCTCTAACCTGTGTGTGACGTCACAGCGGGTTACGCCCATGCATTGAAAACCATGGATCTATGCCACAGGACTGCCTTTTCTCTCTTCTCTCCACTGATGCCCAACACAATACTGCCCTCTACAGGTGACAATTGCTCAATACACATAAATTGCCGTTTTGAGAGTGAAAAAGAGTCTGAGGTGGGATTTGAACCCAAGCATCTGGATTGACAGTCCATCGACACAACAACTGGACTATCTCAGTGACAACGAAAAGTTATAATCTAGTATTTATGTCAGAGTCGCTGTACACAGCCTTGACATCTTGAATATCCGCGAAAAAAGAACCAATACCAAATTATAAACAACTTACAGCGTTGAAACGTACCCACTCTGACGTCACCAAGGGCTGTGAAGTTTATTCGTCTCTAAGGGCGTTGCTATGGGGTTATTTTGATTTGGGGGGATCAGACAAAAAAAACAACAACTGATTTTGAAACCTTTAGTAGTTCTCTTCTAATATAAAATGGTATTAAAACTGTATTTCTAAATAAATCAAACCCGGCATAAGGTCTTTAACACACATGCACGGACTTTTTCAGAATTTCTTGTTATCGTTTTCATGACCAAATTACTATTTTAATGTGAAAAAAAGCGATCACGAAAAACCCGGAAGTAACCATTAACATGTAGTTCCATAGAGCTAGCTAGCTTAGCTGTTACCTGCCTAGCACGTCCCGGTGGAACCTTTGGGAGCTAACTATTTTATTTGCAGTTATTGAATACATTGCTGTCTAATATGTGTTCGGATATATATTTTTTATTTTATTTTAGAATTATATTTGAATGTTGAAGCCCTGGTGTTGAGCAGCGCTGTAGAAGACGCAGACTGTTTGTTCTGTGAGCGGAGGAGAACGTCCCGCTCAGACTCTACTCAGCACTTTTCACTGCTGTAATTCTTACACAGCTGAATCAATGACCTCAAGTTTTACATTAAATTACAGATTTAAAAGTTCAGAATCAGAATCATTTTTATTGCCACGTAAGTAACAGGAGGTCACAGACTTGGAAATTGCTTTGGCTCAGTGCAACAGTCAAAAAGAGATAATAAAAATAAGAATAAAAACACTTCTAAAGAATAAATTTATATTTAAAATAGAGTTACAGTTACTATTTACAATATCCAAGTGCACATGGTGCACACAATGTAAGGTGACAGCAGTACAGTGAAGTAAAGTGACGTATGATGGGCAGTAAAGTGACTTTAAAAGGGCGGGGGGACAGGTTAAGAAGTGTTCAAGAGTCCAACAGCAGAGGGGAAGAAACTGTTCTTGTGGCGGGAGGTTCTAGTCCTGATGGACCGCAGCCTCCTGCCTGAGGGGAGTGGTTGGAATAGTCCATGTGCAGGTGAGAGGGGAGTGGTTGGAATAGTCCATGTGCAGGTGAGAGGGGAGTGGTTGGAATAGTCCATGTGCAGGTGAGAGGGGAGTGGTTGGAATAGTCCATGTGCAGGTGAGAGGGGAGTGGTTGGAATAGTCCATGTGCAGGTGAGAGGGGAGTGGTTGGAATAGTCCATGTGCAGGTGAGAGGGGTCGGCTGTGATACGACCAGCCCGGCCTCGAGCTCGGGCGACGTACAGGTCCTGCAGCGATGGAAGGCTGCGGCCGATCACTTCCTCTGCAGAGCGCACAATGCGCTGTAGTCTCTGTTTGTCCCTGACTGTGGCTCCAGCGAACCACACGGTGATGGAGGAGGTGATGGAGGAGGTGATGGAGGAGGTGATGGAGGAGGTGATGGAGGAGGTGATGGAGGAGGTGATGAGGAGGAGGTGATGGAGGAGGTGATGGAGGAGGTGATGGAGGTGGTTATGAGGAGGTGTTGGTGGAGGTGATGAGGAGGTGATGGAGGAGGTGATGGAGGAGGTGATGGAGGAGGTGATGAAGGAGGTGATGGAGGAGGTGATGGAGGAGGAGATGGAGGAGGTGATGGAGGAGGAGGTGATGGAGGAGGTGATGGAGGAGGTAATGGAGGAGGTGATGGAGGAGGTGATGGAGGAGGTGATGGAGGAGGAGATGGAGGAGGTGATGGAGGAGGAGGTGATGGAGGAGGTGATGGAGGAGGTAATGGAGGAGGTGATGGAGGAGGTGATGGAGGAGGTGATGAGGAGGTGATGGAGGAGGCCATCATCTGTGCAGGCAGCTTGGCTTTCCTGAGCTGCCGCAGGAAGTACATCCTCTGCTGGGCCTTCTTGATGAGGGAGCTGATGGTCGGCTCCCACTTGAGGTCCTGGGTGATGGTGGTGCCCAGGAAACGGAAGGACTCCACAGAGGTGATGGGGGAGTCCATCACGGAGGGTGGGGGCGGGGGGACAGTGCTCTTCCTGAAGTCCACAATCATCTCCATTGTCTTCTGGGCGTTCAGCTCCAGGTTGTTACCACTGCACCAGGACACCAGCCGGTCCACCTCCCTCCTGTAGGAGACACCTGGACACCAGCCGGTCCACCTCCCTCTTGTAGGAGACACCAGGACACCAGCCGGTCCACCTCCCTCCTGTAGGAGACACCAGGACACCAGCCGGTCCACCTCCCTCCTGTAGGAGACACCAGGACACCAGCCGGTCCACCTCCCTCCTGTAGGAGACACCAGGACACCAGCCGGTCCACCTCCCTCCTGTAGGAGACACCAGGACACCAGCCGGTCCACCTCCCTCCTGTAGGAGACACCAGGACACCAGCCGGTCCACCTCCCTCCTGTAGGAGACACCAGGACACCAGCCGGTCCACCTCCTCCTGTAGGAGACACCAGGACACCAGCCGGTCCACCTCCCTCCTGTAGGAGACACCAGGACACCAGCCGGTCCACCTCCCTCCTGTAGGAGACACCAGGACACCAGCCGGTCCACCTCCCTCCTGTAGGAGACACCAGGACACCAGCCGGTCCACCTCCCTCCTGTAGGAGACACCAGGACACCAGCCGGTCCACCTCCCTCCTGTAGGCGGACTCATCGTTGTTGGAGATGAGTCCAATGAGGGTGGTGTCGTCCGCGAACTTGATCAGCTTCACAGAGTCGTGGCTGGAGGTGCAGTGGTTGGTGTACAGGGAGAAGAGCAGGGGAGAAAGAACACAGCCCTGTGGGGCTCCTGTATTTATAATCCGAGAGTCCGAGACATTCTTCCCCAGACACACTCGCTGCTTCCTGTCCGTCAGGAAGTCAGTGATCCACCTGCAGGTGGAATCGGGCACGTTGAGCTGGGAGAGCTTGTCCTGGAGCAGGGATGGCAGGATTGTGTTGAAGGCAGAGCTGAAGTCCACGAACAGGACCCTGGCGTAGGTCCCCGGGGAGTCCAGGTGCTGTAGGATGTGGTGGAGGGCCAGGTTAATGGCGTCGTCTACAGATCTGTTGGCTCTGTAGGCGAACTGCAGGGGGTCCAGGAGGGGGGAGGTGAGGGACTTGAGATGGGAGAGAACCAGGCGTTCAAATGACTTCATGACGACAGACGTAAGTGCTACAGGTCTGTAGTCATTGAGTCCTGTGATCCTGGGCTTCTTCGGGACGGGGACAATGATGGAGGATTTGAAGCAGGCCGGGACATGGCAGGACTGCAGAGAGGTGTTGAAAATGTCCGTGAACACAGGAGTAAGCTCACTGGTGCAGTGTCTCAGAGTGGCCGGAGACACGTGGTCCGGGCCAGGAGCTTTGCGGGGGTGCAGCCTCAGGAAGAGTTGTTTAATCTCTTTAGAGGCTATTGTCAGGCTGGGGGCAGGGCTGATGGGTGGGTCGTTAGAGTAGTGGGGGGTGGGGGAGGGAGAGGTGTCAGGGGCAGCATCAAAGCGACTGAAAAATAAGTTCAGTTCGTCAGCTAGCTTGTGGTCATCAGCACAGGGGGGGGGCTTTGGGTTTGTAGTTGGTGATCTCCCGTAGGCCCCTCCAGACAGAAGCAGTATCGTTGTTACCAAACTGCTCCTGTAGTCGTTCTCTGTGCCGGGACTTGGCTGCTTTCAGTTCTTTCCTGAACTGATATTTAGCTGCTTTGTAGCCGCTGCGGTCCCCCTCCCTGAAAGCAGACTCCTTTGCTTTCCTGAGCTGCCGGAGTTTAGCAGTGAACCAGGGTTTGTCGTTGTTATAGATGACCCTGGTCCTTGTTGGAATGATGCTATCCTCACAGAAGTGAATGTATGACGTCACAGTGTCCGTGTATTCATCCAAACTATCTGTGGCAGCTCTGAAAAGGTCCCAGTCTGTAGATTCCATGCATGCAGCTCTTCCACAGCTTCATCAGACCACACTTTGGAGCTCCTCACTGCAGGTTTTGAGAGCTTTAGTCTCTGTCTGTAAGCAGGAACCAGATGTATCATGGAGTGATCTGAGAAGCCGAGGGCTGGCTTGGGAACAGCGCGAAAAGCTCCGCGCACGGTGGTGTAACAGTGATCCAGAGTGTTCTCCTCTCTGGTCGGGCATTTGATAAACTGTCTGTATTTGGGTAATTCCTGGCTCAAGTTTCCCTTATTAAAATCCCCCAGGATAATAATCAGAGAGTCCGGGTATAAGCGTTCCATACACAGTACTTGCTCTGCGTCCGCGCATGGCGGTATGTAAACAGAGGCAAGAATGAATGAAACAATTTCCCGCGGGGAGTAATATGGTTTACAATGAATGAAAAGATATTCCAGAGCAGGAGAGCAGTGCTTGGAGATCACTGTCACATCGTTACACCAGTTTGTATTGACGTAGAAACACAGCCCTCCGCCTCTGCTCTTCCCTGAGAGCGCACAATGGAGGACACAGAGGACACCAGGTCTCAGTGAAGCAGAGGACACAGAGGACACCAGGTCTCAGTGAAGCAGAGGACACAGAGGACACCAGGTCTCAGTGAAGCAGAGGACACAGAGGACACCAGGTCTCAGTGAAGCAGAGGACACAGAGGACACCAGGTCTCAGTGAAGCAGAGGACACAGAGGACACCAGGTCTCAGTGAAGCAGAGGACACAGAGGACACCAGGTCTCAGTGAAGCAGAGGACACAGAGGACACCAGGTCTCAGTGAAGCAGAGGACACAGGGGACACCAGGTCTCAGTGAAGCAGAGGACACAGAGGACACCAGGTCTCAGTGAAGCAGAGGACACAGAGGACACCAGGTCTCAGTGAAGCAGAGGACACAGAGGACACCAGGTCTCAGTGAAGCAGAGGACACAGAGGACACCAGGTCTCAGTGAAGCAGAGGACACAGAGGACACCAGGTCTCAGTGAAGCAGAGGACACAGAGGACACCAGGTCTCAGTGAAGCAGAGGACACAGAGGACACCAGGTCTCAGTGAAGCAGAGGACACAGAGGACACCAGGTCTCAGTGAAGCAGAGGACACAGAGGAACACCAGGTCTCAGTGAAGCAGAGGACACAGAGGACACCAGGTCTCAGTGAAGCAGAGGACACAGAGGACACCAGGTCTCAGTGAAGCAGAGGACACAGGGACACCAGGTCTCAGTGAAGCAGAGGACACAGAGGACACCAGGTCTCAGTGAAGCAGAGGACACAGAGGACACCAGGTCTCAGTGAAGCAGAGGACACAGAGGACCCCAGGTCTCAGTGAAGCAGAGGACACAGAGGACACCAGGTCTCAGTGAAGCAGAGGACACAGAGGACACCAGGTCTCAGTGAAGCAGAGGACACAGAGGACACCAGGTCTCAGTGAAGCAGAGGACACAGAGGACACCAGGTCTCAGTGAAGCAGAGGACACAGAGGACACCAGGTCTCAGTGAAGCAGAGGACACAGAGGACACCAGGTCTCAGTGAAGCAGAGGACACAGAGGACACCAGGTCTCAGTGAAGCAGAGGACACAGGATGAAGTCCTTGTTTCTTCTCATGAGCAGGCTGAGTTCGTCTTATTGCCCAGTGAGCGTACGTTGGACAGAAAAATGCCGGGGAGAGGCTCCTCTCCTCCTCAGACGCACGAGCAGCCTCCGCGCTTTCCCCTTTTACGGGCCCACACTTTTTTGGCTAGAACATGAACTAAATCAGCCGCTGATGCCAAGAAAACAGGCAATAGGTCCATGGGAACGGTGGGTCGGATGTTCATAAGTTCCTCACGGGTGTAGGAACAGCCAGATGCACAGTTAAAAAGTAAAAACAAAAGAAAAAGAGAGCAGCAAAGAGCCGTGTCGACCGTACGAGGCGCCATCTTAAGTTGATCGCCAAACAAAAAAGTTGTGGATCAGGTTAAAAGCTAAAAGAGTTGGTTATTTTCTCTCGTCTCTTTTCCATGTTTTTCAAAGTGCTCACAATGAGGCGATGAATGACGTCCTAAAGAAAGTGCTTTTCAATAATTTTCTCAACCGGAGAAAGAAGGAATGACGTAACCGTGAGGAGGAAGAAATGAGGCGAGCTGCAATTATCGACGCCATCGTCACGGTAACGATCCTTCCTAACCGCTGTGTCTGAAATGAAATCTGACTGAAAACACAAACCTTTTAGGTTTTATTTCAGACACAGATATTATCGTCTCCCACAGACACAGCATCAGCGTCATGCACTGGACAGATTCTCCATGGACCAGAGTTTACACATGGTAAGACCAGAGTTTACACATGGTAAGACCAGACGTACATGTAGGAGATGATCATGGACCAGAGTTTGCACATGGTAAGACCAGATGTACATGTAGGAGATGACCATGGACCAGAGTTTGCACATGGTAAGACCAGATGTACATGTAGGAGATGATCATGGACCAGAGTTTGCACATGGTAAGACCAGATGTACATGTAGGAGATGACCATGGACCAGAGTTTACACATGGTAAGACCAGAGTTTACACATGGTAAGACAAGACGTACATGTAGGAGATGATCATGGACCAGAGTTTGCACATGGTAAGACCAGATGTACATGTAGGAGATGACCATGGACCAGAGTTTGCACATGGT